ACATGCCGCTAAGGAAAGCTACATGTACTCCTAAGAATGATTAATTAATTAGAGTTGTGGCTCTTTGCTCTCTGCATTTCTGTATAGATATAATTTGTTTTCTTATCTCTCCCCAGACATCCATGTTGGCGCATGAGTCCCAGAGCCAGTACAGCGAGCTGCTGCTGGAGAAGAACAGTTTGCTCTCCAAGCTTAAACTGCTGGAGCAGGACAAGACCCGTTGTCAGCGCATAGAAGAGGAGCTCACCCGCATCAAGCTCACACTAGAGACAGAGGTCCGCAACAAACAGCGGCTGCAGGATGAAAAGAACTCCATCCTCAAAGACTTCAACCAAATGAAGAGCCAGTTTGAGCTGAGAGACAGCCAGATTAGGAAGTGTGAATCAGACAGAGACAAGGCTGAACGAGAGAGGCTATCTCTGAAGAATGAGATTGAGAGGCTCATGAGGGAGCTAAAGAGTGTTGAGGAGAGGTACAAGAACCGTCTGTTGATGTCTGAAAAGGAGGCATCAGACCTGGCTCTCAAGAGAGATGCCCTTGAGAGAGAGATACAGAGGCTGCAGCAGAGACCCAGCTCTCTGAGTAGGCAGACCCAGACAGATGAGAAGGTCCCAACAATCGATCCATCCAAGCTGATATTTGATGGGGTGCGCCGCAAAGTCACAGCCCACCAGCTTTGTGACTGTGGTATAATCAGTAAAGCCACTCTAGACCAGCTCCTAAAGGGAAAAACGACAGTGGATGAGGTAGCTGTAGACATCCAACTCAGTCTAAAGGGTACCGGCATCATTGCTGGCATGATGACAGGTTCTCAAGGGAAAATGCCATTCACTGAAGCCAAAAACAAGAAGCTCCTCAGCCCAGAAAGCGCCCTCATGCTTCTGGAAGCTCAAGCAGCAACAGGCTACATAGTGGACCCCGCGTTTAATGAGAAGATGCCTGTGGACACTGCCTGTTCAAGAGGGATTGTAGACACAGAAGACAGAGACACCTTGGCGAAAGCTGAAGCCGCTAGCACAGGCTTCAAAGATCCATACACTGGCAAAGTCTTATCTGTGGGTCAGGCTTGCAAACAAGGCCGCATAGACAAAGACACAGCCATCCGCTTGCTTCAGGCTCAGGAGTCTGTTGGAGGCATATTGGACCCTGTTCTGAGTGTATTCCTTCCAAAAGATCTGGCCTTGGATCGCAATCTTATTGATGAGGACCTCTACAGGGCTTTGAACAAAAAACCCACTTGCTACCTGGATCCAGCGACAGAAGAGAAGATAAGCTATTCTGATCTCAGGAAGAAGTGTACAGTGGAACCAGTTGCTGGCTTGCTTCTGCTCCGTGGTCCAGAAAAGTCCATGACAGTGAAGGGTCTCCGTGGTGAAGTCCCTGTTACAGAGCTTATCAAGTCTGAACTGCTGGATGAAACAGATTTGCAGAAGCTCCAGCAGGGCAAGCTTACCAGCAGAGAAATTGAAGACAAGCTAAAGTCTTATCTCCATGGCACTACCTGCATTGCAGGGATCTATGATGAGGCCAATGATCGAATTATGCCTTTCTATCACGCAATGAAGGAAGGTCTGCTCATGAGAGGAACCACCCTAGAGCTTCTTGAGGCCCAAGCTGCTTCTGGTTTCATTGTTGATCCAGTCAACAATGTCTTCTTGACAGTAGAGGAGGCCGCAAAGAGAAGCTTGATAGGAAAAGAGTTTCAAAATAAGCTCTTGTCTGCAGAGAAGGCAGTAACTGGATACAAAGACCCAGCCACAGGAAATATAATCTCCCTCTTCCAGGCTATAGAGAAAGATCTTATTGAGAAAGGTCATGGAATCCGTCTTCTTGAGGCCCAAATTGCCAGCGGCGGGATTATTGACCCCAAAGAGAGCCACCGTATTGATGTCGCTGTTGCCTATAAAAGGGGATATTTTGATGAGGAGATGAATGAGATCCTAACTTATGAAGGAGATGACACAAAGGGGTTCTTTGACCCTAATACTAAGGATAACCTGACATATCTTCAGCTGAAGGAGAGGTGTATCAAAGATAGCAAAACAGGGTTACTACTCCTGCCACTCAAAGACAAGAATAAGCCCCAAAAGTCACAGGAGAGCCGTACCAATGTCCTTCGCAAGAGGAGGGTCGTGATTGTTGACCCAGACACTGGGCTTGAGATGTCAGTGAGGGAGGCCTATCACCGGGAGCTAATTGACTATGACACTTTCCTGGACTTGTCAGAGCAGGAGTGCGAGTGGGAGGAAATAACTATCAAGGGGTCTGATGGCTCTGCACGTTTGGTGATAGTAGATAGAAAAACAGGAACCCAATATGACATCAGGGACTGCCTGGAACGTGGTATTATTGACCAGAGATCTTTGGATGAGTATCGTGCTGGAAGTCTAACCTTGACCCAGTTTGCTGACCAAATTACCAACAGAACCAGCAGCACTGAGATGACCATTGCAGCCAGCAATGTTAATGACATGGTCACCTGCAGCAGTACCACCCAGGCCACACCATCTTCTCCTACTGTCCGTAAACGCTTCAACAGTATTTCTATTACTGTTTCTCCACCTGAGATGTTCGATGACCAGAGTCCTGTGGCGGCTATATTTGATACCGAGACCTTGGAGAAAATAACTATTCCTGAAGCGCTCCGAAGAGGTATAGTTGACACTCTTACAGCACAGAGGCTTCTGGAGGCCCAGGCATGCACAGGTGGTATTATCAACCCTGCCACTGGCGAGAGACTGTCGCTGCAGGATGCTGTCCATCAGAGCATCATTGATGAAAGCATGGCTGCTAAGCTAAAACCAGCCCAGAAAGCCTTTGTTGGTTTTGAGGATGTGAAGACTAAAAGAAAGATGTCTGCAGCAGAGGCAGTGAAGGAGATGTGGCTGCCTTATGAAGCTGGCCATAGATTTCTGGAGTTTCAGTACCTGACAGGAGGCCTGATAGAGCCTGGCACTGGACGTCGCATCACCATTGAAGAGGCTATCCGCAAAGGTTGGCTGGATGGTCAAGGGGCTCAGAAGCTTCAGGATACACGGAACCACCAGAAGAATCTAACCTGTCCCAAGACAAAACTGAAGATCTCCTACAAGGAAGCCATGGACAGCTGCATGGTGGAGGAAAGCAATGGTATGAAGATGATGCAGGCCTCCTCAATATCCTCGAAGGGAATCAGCAGTCCTTACAATGTCTCTAACCCAGGATCTCGCTCTGGGTCCAGGGCTGGTTCCCTTGCTGGCTCAAGGAGCGGATCTCGAAGAGGCAGTGTGGATTACTCCTCTAATTACAGCTATAGCTTTTCCTCCAGCAGTACCACCTACAGCTCCAATGCTCAGTCTTAATACACAGCATAGAACAAGAATCAAGAATGAAACTAGATTAGTTATTACCAGCAGTTCCTATGCAGTTTGAGTTTCTAAACTTTGTTTCTGCTACCTATGAGATTTTGGGAGTCTTGTTTAAATACTCAATCTGATTCTGAATTCTTATTAATAATAATAAGTATTTTGATTGTTTGCAGTCTTTGGTGATTTGGTGTTTCAATATTAAACTCAATGCAGAGTATAATTATTGCTCGTATTCTAACACATACATTTTGAATGAATATATTTGTCACAGTTCATTTTAATATAAGGCTTTTTTAGAATTTAACAATATGTTATTTTAAAATACGTTTGTTGACCAGATCTTTAGCATGCAGTCAAAATTATTTTAGCTGTTTTTTGTTCTTAGTTTTTTTGCAGTGTGACTTGTGTATGTTTTCTTTAATTTTTCTCTAGAAAAAAAAACATTTGTTGTCAAATGCAAATGCTGAGGTTTTGCTTGAAATACTGACTTTACAAAATCATAATCAACTATGAAAAGTCCTTGCCACTACAATGTTATTCTCATGTGATTAAAAAATAAAGTTTTCACAATAATTTTAGTTTTTCTCATTAATTAATTTACTAGCTATACTATCTGTATTGTGCATTAAAAGAGTTTACTTTATGAGGGGAGGCTGATGTATAGCCTTGAACCAAATGCAGCATCCACTGGATGGCGCTAATTGTCATGTTGCATGCCTGCAAGCTTGTGTGCCCCCCAACAGCAAGTTTTACTTCAACACAGATTGGAAACAAAATTGTACACTTTGGTTATAGTATAATATTAGCAGGACTGCGGTGCTGAAAATATTGATGGGCTCAAAGGGAATTTGACCACCAATACATGAGATACTATTTGTAATTTGATAACAGTGACCCATACCTACAGTATGATAACCAATATGATAGTATTAACTAATAATTACATTTAATTTCTCAAGCATCTTTATTTTGTGGCCTGAAGATAATTGTGTGTGTTCAGACACCACTGGAGATTATTGGGACATTTCAGACCTGTCAGTTTTTTAAATTACTAATAATAATAATAATAATAATAATATTTTTTAGGCCTACCCCCTTAACAGAGTAAAACAATTGTGTGTGTGTGTTATATATATATATATATATATATATATATATATATATATATATATATATATATTATATTTTGAAAATACACTTAAAGGGCATAAAGGCAAACATTTTGGGCTACATTAATAACACTGACTTGACCTGATAGGCTATAGCCTACTGTAGGTTATGTAAAAAAAAAAAAACAACAACAACAACCCATAAATCACTTAACAATTGATTATGTCTGAGTCTGCAACCTGTTTGTTCAATTTGTAGATTTATACTCTTATGATGGACCATACCCACACTAAAAAACTACTACTGCACTCCTATTTCATCCACATGTGAAGGGTTTTTGGGGGGTCCTGGTTGGAGGAAGTCTCCGTCTGCTTGTGAGGGGTGAGGGTGAGAACAAATGGAGAGAGGCAGAGGGAGGAGGCCAGATAGAGGGGAGGTAGGGGGAGGGAATAAGGGAGACAGCCCAAGCAGCGCAGTGGGAGGACTGTCCCATGCCAGGACCTGTGGCGGCTGCAGCGGCAGCCTGGACTGAGGAAGTGTGCTTTCGGGGGGGGGCTGGGCTGAGGCAGCAGGCAGCAGAAGCAGTTCAGGATCCAAGCAAAAAAGCTTCCATTTTTATCATCGACAGCCACAGCCAAAGGCCGAGGAGAGCATCGAGTCCAGCTGGGACAAAGTGAGCGGGCTGTGACCAACCTGAGAGCAGATTCCAGCAGAAGAAAATGAGCCTCTCAGCCTGCATTAAGCCTGTATGACGGGGCTGAGGGCTCTTTGATCAGGACTTTACTCCACTCTTTCTCTTTCAGCTGCTCTGACTGACAAAGGGAAACAGAATAGAAAAAAAAGAAGAATCAAAGTAGTCGCTTTCAGTTTGAAAAGGTAAGGCATGGTGTCTGAACTTTTTCCACGGTCAATCATAAACGGGGAGGGTTTTAAAGTCGGCTGGTCAGTACTTTTAAAAGCAGGATTAGACCTCCACACACTGCAGTACCTTTCAACACCCCCCCTTTTCTGTTTAGCCCTATGCTCAGTCACATTTCATTGAGTTTGCTCATTTATTCAAAGTGCAAAACAGGGCTCTGCTCTGTATTTACTTTGGCTGTGAGTCCCACTAAAACCAGGCGTGTGTGTGTGTGTGTGTGTGTGTGTATGTATGTGTGTGTGTGTCTGTGAAGACAGAGAAGGGAGTCATTCAAACTGAGCAAGCACTGATCTTGTGATTTCTATTTTTTTTTATGTGAAAAAGTATTATTTACGGCCTTTGAATTGAACTGCCTGAAGCTTGTTTGACCTCTGTGAGTCTTTTTAGCTTTTCAGAAGTATTCCTCAATGAATTGTGTTTTGCAATGGCTATAATTTGGGGTTCCTTGCTGTTGTGGGTTATGGTGTACTGGAGACCTTTTTATAATGTGAAACATATGGGGCCATTCTTGTGGGAGACTTGTACCTAGTATTCTATAGATCTCCAAAAAAACAAGCCTTTTTTTATTGTCCTTTGTTGACAGTTTGGACCCCTTGGTTGGTGGATAAATGATGGAGACGATCAGAATAGGAGAGTTTGGCTTTTTTTCTTTGAGCTACAGCTGCTGCGTGGTATTTGCGGCCTTAGGGCTATGTTTCTCAGGCAGCCATTGTTGATGACATGTACAAGCATTCTTACATCACAGCAGCTACACCCCTCTTCACCTGAATATCTGTCCCTCCCTTTCCCTGCATGGAAATCAGACACACACCTGCATTTACACCCGCCTGTACACCTTTCTACCAAACATAAACCATGCAGGTCGTTCTGAACATTTTGCAGCCTAAACTCTTTCAAGATCAGCTTTAATTACAGACCCAGTGAGACAGGAGAAACATTTTTCAGCTGGCAATTATAGCTTTTGTTGGTGGTTCTATTTTGAGGTCAGAGTCGTATAAACAATATCTGCCCCTCAAGGCGAAAAAGAAATGTACGTCAGTTACCCAAAGTGTCCGTTTTTTTTTTCCCCTCGCTGATAACAGGCCGCAGTTACAAAGGACTGGCAGAGCGACTGATGAGTGGTGATCTTGATAGTGTGGTTTGGACAGGTGGGTTGGCAGAGGGTTGGGGTTGTGTACTGTAAGCAGAACACTGTGATCTAACACTGGAGGAAACAGCATGGAACTGAGCACTGGGGGCATTTCACTGTGTCACAGCAGTGCCACGGCCACTTGGCTGACATGTGTAAGTCATTAAACGGAGAGAAGGAGACCTGGAGAAGGAATGAGAATGAAAGCAATAAAGGGGCAAAGAATGGCAAGAAAGAGGAGAAAGAAAAAGAGAGATGGAGGGAATGAGGGAGCGAGAGTGGGAACGTAATCCATTTTGGAACGCATTCCACTATGACCCTGGGATAGAGAACGGTAATTAGGGTGTTTTAGGAGCCTGAAGGGTGCACAGATTTGCTCAGAGCCAGTGCTGTCATTTTTATTCCCTTCAAAATATCTTGTGAAATTGCGGGAAAAATACATGTTAGAGTTCCAGAGTTACTAACTAAACTTGCTAAAAATACCCAGCTCCCCCCTCCTGTGGCTTTTTTTTCTTTCTATAGTTCTCATTGTTTTGTTTATTCCAGTACTTCAGCAGTGAAAGGGTGTCAAAGCCACAGCGCAAACATATAGAGCCCCTGACAGGAAAAGGCCAGAACAAACTGTGGCCTTGTCCCTCTCCAGGCCCTTCAGCCAGCCTGTTATGTCACTGTGGACATGTTATCCCGCAGTATGAGGCGTGCGCTCGTGCCAAGTATGAATACTAGGCGGTTTGGAACAGTGGAGCTGATGGTATCAAAGTTATTAGGTGGCTATTAGATGTGAATGCTAAATACCAACCAGGGGCTACAGCCAGAGGACAAGGGCAAAGGAACAAATCTGTTCTGGTTGTACAACTCTTGTCATCTGATGGCAACAGGCATGAATAGTTCTTTTCATGAGCTGGGCAAACAAAGAAATAAAGCTAAATTTAGTAAAAATGCGTTAAGAAAAAAAAATAAATAAATAAATAAAAAACAGCTTTTGAGTCCAGCAGTCCCCCCTGCAGGCAGCCAGACCCCCTGAAGCATTTATGGCACTTTAGGTGTTACACAGGTTCGCAGACAAACAGCTTAGGAGATCATTAATCTGTCCAGTGTCTCCCAAAGAGACAGTAGTGTAATGTATGTGTAGCTGCTTTTTTTTTCTTCCATAGGTGCAAAACAGAGCCAGTTCCTACATGCTGGGTTGGATGAGCTTTACTCTGAATTGGAGCTCTAATCGTAGCTGAGGCAGCACTGCAGTCTGTACCCGATAAAGTCTGTGTTGATGTGTAACAAGGAGTTGGAAAAGTGTTTTGTTTTTTTTCTTCTCCTGTTAGTGAGGAATATCAGTGAAGCCATTTTTCATTTCAGATGCACAATTTCAGTTTAATGGACCTATAATAATATTTAAGTTGTCACAAAATGGAGGCTGTTGCCACAACACGTCAATCATAAACTAGAAGCTGGAGCCAACAGAAGCAATTCAGTTAGATTTTAGAGCCGTGAATGGGGGATGGGACGCCTTGATTGCTTTCATATGTGTGCAGGCGTGATGTTTGTGTAATTTTTTTATTTTTTATAATTAAATTCACTTTCACGCTTTGCATGGTTTAGTAATCTGCAACCCTTTCATTTAAATTTGGAGCAATTAATTAGGTAGATTAAGTCTCTTATCTGGTAAAACTAGACTACAGTTTGGTGGTTGCAGCCCCTCCAATATAAGGATTTAATGCTTTTCTGCTTCTCAACATGGAATCCTTTGTGGGTATCTTTCTGGTGAAACTCTGGGCTTTGATGGTAACTTGTGATGATAATTATGTTACATTTTTGACATTTCACAGAGTAAACATTGGATCCACCAAGAATAGATGCCAAAAAATAAAAGTGGCCCAAATGGCAATTAAAGCTTAACTTGTTTCTTTCATGGTCATTGCCACTGCTTTTTTTTATGTGCTTCCTGTACCTTAAATTTGGGGTGCCCTGGTAGCTAGTAGGGATCACGCCCGTGTAACAAGGCTGAGTCCTCGTTGCAGGGGTCATGGGATCAAGTCCAACGCGTGGCCCTTTGCTGTGTCATCCCCTCAGTCTCCCTTTTTTGCCTATCTTGAGCTGTCCTATCAATTGAAGGGAAAAAAATAAAAAAACGTAAGTAGTAAGTAAATACATTTTCTCTCTTCCCACATTTGACCAAGACTCCCTATAGCTGTATTTTCCTCTTCCACTGGTTTTCACAAATATGTAAAAGCAATCTGCGTGATGATGGCCACACTGAAATCCCTAATGGAAAATACAGTCAGGGAGTCTGTAGACATGTAGCCACCAGCCTGATCACATACAAACAAACTTTCGCATAGATGGACTCTGGTTGCTGTGGCTCAACCCCAGTCTCGGGAGAGACTTATTATTTTGCGACAGACAAGCATGCACAGTTTTTGCCAACTGTTGTCACCGCAGTGGACTCAAAAATGAAAACAACCATGAGGTCACTGTTCACATGATTAGGCCACGGTTTAACCCTTAGGGTCGGGCTCACAGATGTCTGGAACTGCTCCTTTTTTTTTTGTTACAGTTTATGTCCTGTTACATGATGCAGCCTTCTTTCATCTTGTCGTTCACCTGCTCGTACAAAATGGAAGATTCCGTGCAGTGCGGACCAGGTGGAGGGTGTGGCTCCCGAAATAGAAACTGGCTTCCTCCCAGAACTTTAAGATGTCTTCCCACTTAAGTCTTTTTACTCATCAATGGAATGTTTGATTAATTTATTTTCAGCGTTGTTCTGGGTAATTGAAAGAAAGGCATTTGAAGCCGGTCCCAAGTGATGGTCATGCATGTGTGAACGTGGCTGACAGCACCCACGCAGCCTAGTCAAGCTCTTACCTGCAGGGGCTGGAGTTGGGGGAGCCAGACACACCCTAATCCCCCAACATCCTGACCTTAGTAAACCTGTTGCAGCTTGCCCACAGTGGGTCTGGCAACCTGTTTTCTCCGATCTCTCTGCCTGCCCCCTCTACCAGCCTTGCTCTCACAGTGCCATGGGTGGGCTCGGGATTGGAGTTCCTTGGCACTGCTTATTCTGCCTTTGTGAGCTAATGCTGTGCCTCAAACCAGGAACAAAAGCAGTCAGTGCAAATTAAAGACCAATTATCTTTAGTGCGTGCTGGGGCAAGTCGCTCGTGTTAACTTGAATGATGAGTGGGAGAAGTGAGAGGTCTAGTAAGAAAATGATGTTGTTTGCTGCAGCGTTACTCGTGAATAATGAATGTAAAATCAATACGCCTCAGGTTGATATTTACGAATGTTATCGTTTATTTTTTAGCTACTTTTGTGCATCTTTATGGGTTTTATTTGAATTGGTTAGAAACTTTATTTGTTTTTGTCACTTAATTTAATAGTTTGTCTTTTTGACAACGATGTCCTTTTTTGCTGAAAGTTAGACGAGAAGATTGATATCACTCTCATGGCTGTCCGTTGAAGATAAAGCTACCGCCAGCAGCTCATTAGCTTAGCTTAGCATAAAGATGCAAAATGGGGGGCAAAAGCTAGCCTGGCTGGTTTCACAGCCATATTATATATATTATTTAATGAGCTTTAGGTATCTGCTTGTGGTTATGAAGAGTGCCAGGCTAGCCGCTCCGTCGTCCATTAGCAAACTGGCTACTGGCGGTAATGTTAGCTTAATTTTTACCCCAGACATGAGAGTGACATCAATCTATCCATATAACTCTGAGCAAGAAAGTGTTTCCAAAACTGTCTACCTTTTTAAAAACTCCTTTAAAACAAAAAATCTTTATACTCATGATTGCAGCACCAAATGAATTAACTTTTTTTTCACACTCCTGGGTCACATGGAGGTTAAGTGTTGGTTAGATGGATACCCTTCCCATCTCCAGTTAGCATAGTACTTTTACACTTCCAAAACATTAGCCTTCTTCCCATGCCTCTGCCCTGGAGATACACAGAGCCTAAGTACTGGCTGAACCTCTTCATTAATTTCCCATTAGTCAACAGTTTTTCCTCAGAGTCTCGGGGGGAAATAGACTAACCCCACCATTAGTTCCAACAATCCCTGAGGACCCCCCCCCCGACTCCCACCACCTCCACCAACACACACACTCACAAAACACCCAGCCCCGTTTCCCCGAGTGATGACCTCTTCATACACATGGCCTCTTTCATTCCGCTCTGAGGGTTGGTTTAAGCTGTGGCTACACTGTCCCTAGTTTATGGCTCCCTCAGTGGCCCCCTTCAAAGTGTTGGGCTGTAGCCTGCAGTCATTGCAAACTTAATTGATGGACACATTCTTGACTATGGATCATTTTAATCACAACAAACAATTGGAGTCATTCAAGAAGGATGATGATATCTTTGGCAGCTTGAGGAATGCGTTTGTGTTTGTGGGAGTGTGTGCTTGTGTGAAATCTGAAACATTTATCAGGCTCAATAGATCAGTTTTTTCTTACAAATGCTACCCACGAGTATAGAGTTATTTTATTTATAGTCATCAACATACAACCTAATTCTGACCCCGAATAGTAGGATTTGGTTTGGTTTGATTTATTGACCACAATTTAATAAATCAGGTTTTGATATAACTAGAACTGAAACGATTAGTAGATTAATTTATTTGTTGACCGGCAGAAAATTAAATGGCAACTATTCATGAATGATTCATCGTTAAAGTAAAAAATCAGCTTCTCAAATGTAAGAATTTGTTCATTTTCTGTTGTTTATTTACATACCTTTATATACATATCCCTAGAAAGAACTTTAAAGTTATGGATTTTTCTTCACAGTCTACCAACCCATAGCATTCAATGTCTGGCATGAAGACATATTGAAAAAATAGGAACTAAAAACTAGAAGAATGAGTCACATAAACAAACAATAAAAAGAATTTTCGGGGAAGCCAGTGAAGTAAAGTCATAGCCACCCAAATCAAATCAGACAACAGTTGTATGACATAGTTCAAAATGCTAATTTAAGTAAATAAAAAAGTAAAACATGACAAGCATATTAAGATATCGACATTCTGCTAAAGTAGTATCTGAATTTAACCAAGAAAGCCTCATTAAGATTAAAAATATAAAGAGTGTCCTGGCTATGATAGCTTGCAAACACAGCATAAAAACACAAAATATAAAACACCAACCCAAACGTAATGAGACTAACACACATCATGACTCTAAAATACAAAAAAGCATTGGCAGCCAGAAGACAACGCGTCCAGTTTCTGAAGCAGTGATTTGAGTTTACAGAGAGACCAAACCTTACAATTTTAGATCTAAGAAGATTCCAGACAGATGGAGCAGCATATGTATTTTTGCTGTAGCTGTGACTTTCTTTAGTGCACCAGAGGCAACGGCTGCAACTCATCACTGTTTTTAATTCCCAATAAAAATGATATGTAGATTGTTTTTTTTGTTTTTTTAGAGTAATGTTTTTAGTCCATAGAATGTCATAAATTTGGTCAAAAACTTCAAGATGATGACTTTAAATTGTGGGTTTTGTCCGACCGACAGTCAAAAACCTGAATATGTTCATTTGAAAATCATGTAGAACAATAGAGAGAAACAGCAAATCCTTACAATTATTAAGCTGGAAACAACAAATGTTCATGGTCACTTGAAACATTGTCAGGTGACTTATTGATTAATCGACTAATGGTGTCAGCACTGGTGATAGCAGGCAACACTTAGATATTCTCTGGCTGACAAAACCGGCATAGAGCATACTGAGATGACTAGATAAGAGGGTAAGGGATGAGTCTGTGGATGTGGTGGGGTGAGACAGGCTCTCTCTAGACCACCACTGCAGGAAGTGCATGGCCATGAGGTCACAGGGACACGCCATCACTCAGGGATTTACAGCAACTGGTTTCAACCGGAGTTGTTTGAAAGTTTTTTTTGTCTTTGTCATTGTTGCTCTGACTGACTGACAGTGGATACTAGATTGCTGGTGGTCAGTCTTTCGATACCACTGCACCGTGTCTCTTTTTTGCTGCAGAGATAAGTGGCAATCATCTCTCACACGTCCTTGATATATTGTTTCGTTTCAACCGCTACAGTATTTGTGACACACACTGTTGACCGTTTCTGTGCAAACAAGACACCCTCTGTCATACAATCTGGAATTGAGGTCAGTCTCTAAAGATATCTGTGTGGAAGCGTGGACACAATGACTAGAGCTGAGGACTTTGACCATCAAATATTGACTCGAGCAAAGTCACCTGCCTAAAGCGTGAGGTAATTGAAGGGCCTGTGTCTCTGCTTCGTTATTTTTAACAGGAAGTCCCAAGATTCATGATGGAGGAGGGATACGAACTCGACCTGACGTACATCACGGAACGTATCATCGCTGTGTCCTTCCCCCGAGGGTGCTCAGAGGAGGTCTACTCTCACAACCTGAAGGATGTCACACGAATGCTCAAGTCCAAGCATGCAGATAATTACCTGGTCAGTGCTCCATCCATGCGCTGCTCACCGTCTCACCTTGAAATGAGCTGAAGTCAAGTGTCAAAGTGCAAACAGTATTGATGTCGGGGCTGATTGGATATTGACATGAGAGTATTGACCTCAGAGTAATCTAAGACGCAGTGTTAAAGCAGAATGCGGCAATCTTTGAGACAACATTTTCAAGTCATGGGCTCTGTTGTGTGTTCTCTTTAGATTATCAACCTGTCAGAGAAAAGACATGATCTCTCTAGAATGAACCCCAAGGTAGGTTTATGTGACACTGTGTCATCTACATAAAATAAGCTAATATAGTCATAGCAGGATGAGTATATAAATATAGATCAATTTGAAAAATAACAAATACAGTACATTTAAATGGCAAAATAGACCTCTGTTTATCCTCTTTGCTCAGCTCTATCTAACCAGCTAAAGTATACAGTATACTATTAATTGGTAACGCACAGGGAGTTGTATGTTTACAGTGAGTGATGTGTTTTTAGACATTGGATACAGGCTGGCCAGACATGCACGCTCCACCTCTGGATAAGATCTGCACCATCTGTAAGGCCATGGAGAGCTGGCTCAACGCTGACCCTCTTCACGTGGTGGTTATACACTGCAGGGTAAGCATCTGCAGGTTGTTTTGTAGCAGCTGTATCTCAGTGTTGTATTAATTTAATAGTAATAATTAGGCGATTGTTCTGGATTTAAATACATTGTGATTGAAATTTTGGCATCTAAAGTGTCTTAAGTATTTCTCTATGACATTAGATATTCACAAGCAGCCATATAAAGTAAAAAAAATCTGTCAAATACTGGAATCTTTAAGTATTGAGTATGTAAGTATTTAAAACAGCAAAAACTACAAGTGTTGCATGTGTAGTGAATAATCCCTGTGGCGTTTCTTGTTTCTTTAGGGCGGCAAGGGTCGAATTGGAGTCATCATTTCATCCTTTGTGCATTTCACCGACGTGTCCGCCAGGTAACCACTACTATGCGTCACATTTTTCATGTAGCTTTAAATGTTGTTTGCTCCAAAGTCAGGATTTATCATAAAATGAGTGTACCCACTCTCCATGGCAGCGAATGATATCAACAACAACCCACAACAGTTGAAGAAGACTCATTCCGTAGACCACAACGTCATTGCCTAACCACAGATGATTTCTTTACCTTTTTTCAATGTAGGGTCAAGGTGATTCAGAAAGTGAGTCAAAGAAAAGGCACCTCTTTCAAAGACAACCGCACAGTTTAAGCCATGAATCACCCCGTATTGAATTGCATGAATCAACTCGGAAACATGTTAGTTACTGTAATAGCTTCTGGCCACAGTGTCAGTTTCACAAAATCCATTCATCACGATGAAAACCGATTCTAAATTTTCTAACCATTGTCAGTTATACTAAGCCTTTAAGTAAAGAAATGCAGCAAACATTAGGAAAGGGTGACCTGGTGTTATGCCACTATGAAGATCCTTTCTGCACACAGAAGTCATTGTGGAATGAGCACACATTGGCCTTCAACTTAGCCCTTGCGTCCCACTGAGGAAGACTGGGTCGGCATGGCAGATACGAAAGACAGAGGGTAAAAAGAGGTAGAGGAAGAGATAGGGAAACAATGAGGCAGATTTACAATGGAATAGATTTGGGGATAGTGGGGGCAGAGGGAGAGGGCCGACGAGAGAGAAACAGAGCTGTGGTGAAAAGGCTCCAGCGCCTGTTGGTTTTAGGTCTGTCTGAATAGCAGAGCTGTGCACACACTCTGTCCTCCTCTCCCCCTCCGTGTTTACTTAAGGCTGGCATTCTCTTCCTCTCTGCTGGAATCCCCTGTCTCTCCGGTTACTTTCACTCTTGTCCATTATGCATGTGTTTGCGTGTGTGTGTCCTAATTTAAGTTAGGGTTAACATTATTCAATTATAGAGCAGCGAAGTGTAATCTCTCTCTGGAGTCATAATTACCTAAAGTGTTTAATGTGTCTCTCTGTCTCCCTCAAAGTGCTGATCAGGCATTGGACCGCTTTGCGATGAGGAAATACTATGATGATAAGGTCTCAACTCTGATGACACCTTCACAGAAACGGTAAGACCCAAAACTCAAGCACGCCCTTTTTTCTAGCAACATGCGTCTGTCCATGTGTTGTTTGACTGGTGCTTTGTTGACCCACATCAAAACACATTCATGTCCCAGACGCACCTGTTTCAATATAAAACTTTGCATGTCCTGGTGCTGTTTGTCCATTTTCTTCACTGAAAAGCCCACCATTGTTGATCATTGTAATGAGAATGGGACCCCATGGTGATCTGGTGTAATCCTGACCCTGTGTATTGCTGTGAATCATCATTGCCCGCACTGATGGCTCTTGTTCCAGTTTCTCCAAGCTGTCTTCTTGACCCCAAGTTTATGTGAGATAAACATTTAGCAATTACAACATAGACAGATGAGCTCATATAATTATAGTTTTTTTTATACTATTACACAGATTTGGTACCTGAATTTCAGTACCAAAACCAAGATGGGAGTTTTTCCTATGCTTTACTATGAGGAATACAACTTTTCTTACAGCAGTAGTTTGACTTTTTGGAAAATGGTAATTAATGTGCTTTCTTGCTGAGAGTTAAATGATAATGTCTGTATGTTTAATATGAAGCTACAGCCCGCAGCTACTTAGCGTAGCTTAGCATAAAGACTGTAAAAGGGGAGCTTGGTACTGTCCAAAGCCAACAAAATCCACTTACCAGCACCTCTAAAGCTCACAAATTAACACATTATATGCCGTGTCAGGGAGTCTGGAGTCTTGTCAAATGTGTGAAGTTGCCAGGCAACCAGTGGGAATTCACTACTACCAGAAAATGAGTTGTCTGGCACATAAACACCCATAAAATCACAAATTGTTGTTTTTACACTTTGATTCTTGTACAGATTAAACAAATGACATATGACATGTTATTTAGTTAGCTATAGATGTTCTCGAAGGCAGATTGTTGGTATTCTTTATTTTGACAGAGCCAGGCTATCTTTTTTCCCCTGTTTCTGGTCTTTGTGCTAAGCTAAGCTAACCCGCTGCTGCTGCTAGCTTAATATTCAATGTAATGAAGTGAGTGTGGTATTGATCTTCTCTTGTAACGCTAAAGTGAATAGGCGGATTTTTCCAAAACTTTGTACTATTGTTAAATCTGAGAAAATAACCCTGATTATGTCATCGTGATGTCACCAGGGTTATCTCAGTTTGGGTTTTGAGACTACAATTGTTTGTTTTTTTTGAAAGTTACAAACTAGTAGCTTCATAGTGAAGACGAGGACATTTTCCAAGCAGAGACAAAATGAAAAAATTTAATTAAGTTGCATTGTGGATTTTGACTCATACAAGAGATTAAAAGCCTGTATATCTCGCCCCTTGTGATACATCTTTGGAGTACCCCTTAACTTTGACTTAGTAAAATACAGTCTAAAGTGTGCAAAGTTGTAGTGATTATAATATTTATATGATTAAAAGAAAGGAAACAAAACTACTTGACAGATTTGACTGCAGACACATTTCGGTCTGTCACTAAAAAAATTATGTTTGATATCTATTAATGAGCATGTTATTGGTTGTGGGAATACTTTGCATATATATTGCATATTATTTACATCCAGCTCTGTGCTTTCATGTCAGGTATGTTTGGATCCTCAACAGTCTTCTAAGTGGATCCATGAAGATCAATGCCTCACCATTGTTCCTGCACTGCGTCATTCTTCACGGGATACCAAACTTTGACGCCACTGGAGGTTAAACTTGTTTACCACTACACACAGCTGCCTCTCCCAATGAAAATACAGTTGTTGCTACCATGACAGTATACAAGAATCCAGACACAACCACATCAGAGCTGGAGCAGTAAACAAGATGGAGACTTATCTGTACTTTATATCTTTTTCTTTTTCCAACACACATGCATGCTCAGACAGATAGAGCTACTTGCATAAACAGAACTGAAGAGGGGAACTTCTTTATGGGTTCCCAGTAAATCCATGGGAATTCACACCCATGCTTGCTTGTTAATTGCTGTTTTCTCTAATTTCACTGAAACAACAGAGGTCTTCGTCACATTGTGGAGCTGAAATGTCTTTCTCATAACAACAGCTTATCACACTTCTGAGCAAAACAATCTGAGAGGCTACCTGTGAAGATCTTACCTAGCAGGCTACTTAAGCTCACGTTATCAATGAACTTTTGACTATTATTTATTTGAGAATTAATCTCTTTTTTTCCCAGTATGTCGTCCGTACATCAAGGTTTACCAGGGAATGCAAGCGGTGTATTCATCTGGAATCTAGTAAGTAGCTTGTGGTGGAGTGATGTTAATATTGCTGACTTCACATCAAAGCAATTTTCTGTTTTACTCAGTTTAATGCTGATTTTAATTTAGAGTTACTGCTCTCTATAAATATCTGTGATTGCTTCCAAACTCACTTTCACTGACTCATCTGTTGTTTCTCTTCCAGTCACATTGGTCCAGGCCACAGAGACCGGGTATGCATCACCCTGGAGCCTGCCCAGCTCCTTAAAGGAGACATCATGGTACGAAAATCAAAAGATGCCTTTTCAGAGTTTCTGACATCAGTATTGATTATAGTAATCACAGTATTTTTGTATGTTCTTTTGTAGATTAAATGCTATCACAAGAGTGACATGACTTCAGAACGTGAAGTTGTTTTCCGGCTGCAGTTCCACACGGGAGCAGTGCAGGGCTACAACCTGATGTTTGAAAAAGAGGACATGGAGACTGCCAACAAAGGTAGACCTGAAACCCCCTGAGAACAGGTCTTGACGTGCTGCCTTTAGTTTACAGCAACTCAAGGTCCATACAGCATCTGCAGGGCATGGCCTGGACTTAATTTAGAATTGGCACTTTGAGACCAATAATCTTGTTTTCCCAAACATGTTACATGTACTGACAGAAACGGCATTCATCTTCCCATTTCTGAGTGGCCACACTAATGGCATTCCTGTGTGCTTACATTCCAGATCCCAGATTTGCAGATTATGGTAAAGTGGAGCTGGTGTTCTCCGAGGGACCAGAGAGGATCCCAGGTAGATTCCTAACACTTCAGTTTTTTTGAAAAGTTGCTACAGGGAGAGGTAGTTGGAAAAGCAGACAGTTTCTTTTTCCATTTTTCCCTTCGTGCTGTCCTGTGTTCCTCCCCCTCTGCCCCCTGGTGAGAAGGGATGTGGAATGCTGCAGAGGGGAAATGTAGTGTGAAGTGTGTGCTGACAGAGAGGTAAAGAAGCACAGCATGTGCTGCCCCAGAGCCCCACAGGAGGAAAACTATGTTGTGGGTCTGTGTGTCTTCGATAGTGATAGTAGTAGTAGTAGTAGTAGTAGTAGTAGTAGTCCCGCAGCAATATGGTGTGGATATTATTTCAATCTACATCATCAGAGGTGAAAATGAAACTTTGAATGAAGTTTGTGTGGACTTTATTTGTTATTATTATTCCATGATAAAATGAGGCTATTTTTTAAAGGAATAGTTAGGAAATGTGCTTATTCACTGTCTTGTTTGATATCACTGTCATGTCTGCACGCTAGGCTAAATATGAAAATTAAAATATTAGCTGAACTTCACATAAAGACAGGAAGGGAAAACAGCTAGCTTGGCTCAGTACAAAGGTTAAAAACAAACTACCACCGCCTCTAAAGTTCATTAATCAACACATTATGTCTGGTTCGTTAAATACTTACACAATGTAAAAACAAAAACAATCTTAGTTTTCCTTTGGACTGAGCCAGGCTAGCTGTTTTTCCTGTTTCCAGTCTTTGTGCTAAGCTAAGCTAACGTAGTATATATACAAATTTTCTCACTCTCCGCTAGAAAGGGAATAAGCATACTTTAAGGCTTTTGCACCTGGTAAATCTAGTAGAATGTTAAGGAAACACTGAAACCTTTTATTTTGTTATGTTTTGTATTGTTTATTGTTTGAGTAGTGAGATTTGCAGATAATAAATTTCTTCAGGACTGGATGATATGAAATGAGCAGGAATTATCATATCATAGTGATAAAATTCCACTGGAAGCTGATCATATCAAAGTCTTCTAATCAATATCCTTTATCTTCCCATGAGCCATTATTTAGTTTTTTACATTAACATAATGACGAATAGTATTTTGTGCTACTTCCTGTGTTAAACACCTTGATACAATATCTCAATAATGTTATTTTTCGGGTCCAGGTGCTGACAGGTGGCAAAATGGGGCGGATGTTATTGTGGACTACAACACAGCAGATCCTCTAATCCGCTGGGACTCCTACCAGAACATCTGTGATGGGGAAGGTATTGTTACTATGCTGCATTAGTCACTACATGACTCACAAGACTTTGTTATGACAGTGCCGAATCCTGCCTAATAAATCAGACTCTGAGTGAAAACATCAGTAGCTGCTTTGTGAATGGAAGAAGTATGCATAGGGTGTTATTCAGACTTTAAGTTTACCCCCCTTTCTTGCGCTATTACTTTAACATGTTCTCTCTGTTTCTCACTTCCACAAACACACACAAACTCTTTTTCTCTCAGGGAATTAACACAGCGTGACAGGTCCTGTGCTCCATGTTACTGAGGCACTGCAGTGTGATTGCATTAACATGCACGCAGTCACCACTTGGTTTATGTTTCAATCGTTGCTAACAGAAGTTATTACTCATGAGTGGGACTTAAATCCCAGGCAGGCAGGCTGGCTGGCCCTGTGGAAACACAACTTCTGTTATGGCGAGGAAAGGAAATGAAAGCTAAAACGTACCTCTAGGTTGCACTATGCTGGGCATGACAAACAGTGTTGTTTCTGTGTGGGGGGATAGGGAGGAGAGTTGTTGTATGTAGGAATGCTGAGTTCAGAGGAAGAACAGTTAGTTCTCAAGAGATTTCTATTTTGTTGTTTTATCAAATGAATAGGCATGCTTTAACCATCCCACACATGCGCGCGCACACACACACACACACACACACACACACACTGTCTATGCTCTATGCACTCACTCTAGCGCCCGCACAGACACACACAGACTCACACTCAGAGCCACCCTGTCGGGGCGTCCCGTCCTAGCTGTGGTTGTTGCTCTCCACTCAACCACAGAATTCACAACAACCTCCCAGAATAGAGCGACGTGGTGGTAGCATTAAAACACAGATCCACCCTTTCCCAGTATTCATTGAGTGTTTTTATAAGCTAAGTTCAGTTTGATGAAAATGAGCTGCTTTATTTATTTTCATTTAAAATACCCCAGCACAGCCATATAGAGTTTTACGCACACCTCTGAGAATGCAATAAAAGAGAAAAACACTCAAATTTAAGAATTCATCAAAGCAAAGCAAAGACATCAACAAAGGAGCAATTTTTTCTCATGCCTTTATTCCAAAGCATTCATGTGGGATATTTACAGCTTTGTCTTCTCATGTAAACACTACATCTGAGAGGGAAGACTGGGAGCTTTGTTGGAATTCTACATCTACTTACCACCAGTCCAGGCTCAGTTTGAGGCTGTCACTCAGAAGTTGGTCAAGAGGAGGAAGTCTAAAAAACGTTTGCCACTGTAGTGCTAAGGTTGTGAAAAGAAAACCTAATTTACTTCGATGGCTTTTCTTCAATCACCAGTGAGAGTGTGTGTTTATCCCCACGTGTGAATTCAGCACTGAATTTTAAAAGACTGTTTTTCTAGAAGGTTGTTTACTTAAAGTTTACTGTCAAAAAACCCAAATTACAAAAAAAGCGGTATATAGCCATGCAGATTTCAGTTTTGTGATGTGTCTTAGATTTCCACTGCCAGTCCAATGCAATGTAGGTGAATGGAATTTCATTCGTGTGCACTGAAAAATTACATTTAAAAAATGCTAAAACTTTTAAAACATCTCTTTCCAGAAAATGCGTTCCTAATACTCTGGATAGTTTTTATAAGGACTCGTTCAATGAAAACTGTTCATAGCAACAAACATCTAATATCTCAATTATATAACCGAATACAAAACGACAAAAATTGCAGTCCGTATCAAAAGAATGTGGAAGAGGCCTTGATTTACCTGAGGAAGACGTCCTGGTGTATTATATAAAACAACCAGACTAAAGACCACCAATTCATGGTCCTGATGAGTTCTGTTGTGTAGTTATGTTGTGTGGGTAAAACATGGCTGAAGGCTCAGGATCGTATTTCCGGGGACTGTCCTTTTTATTTATTTATTTTTCATTCAGCAAGAGGTTATTAAAGATATTTTGTCACATTATACCTTGAGCATAAGATAAACCTCTGGCTCAGGATGAATATCTCTATAAAAATACTTATGGCTGCTAGCAAGAAAGCCGTTACATTGAAATGACTAGCCTATATATATGTGGTAATAAAATGTAACCCTGTTCCTGTACAAGTATTCAGTTGCCCATGTAAAACCCCACACTTTAGCTGAAAATATCAATAAAAAAGTTGCAAAAAGAGAGAAAACTATTCACAGCACTCTATGGATTACCCAGAATAACTGAGATATTGTTTCTGGAAAGAAATGTTTTTTAAATGTAGTTTTCATTGTTTGGGGCACAGCTTAAAAAAATTTATTCACCTTCATGGCATTGAAGTGGAGGCAGAATTCTCAAAACCTGGGCAAATAAAACTGTCTGCATGGCAAGATACTACTAGGGGTATGTGTAGAAAATGTTTTACACAGTTTAACTCTTACATAATGTGAGTTTTCCCTCAATAGTTCCTCTCTACACTTTCTATAGTATGAGATACATTTCCCAGAGGGGCTGACGTCTGTACACATCGGAGGCATGTGTAGAAACTTGGGCGGAAGAAAATGAGGTTGATGATCATTATTATGCTTTCGACTCATAGATTAGGCATTCAGGAGGTGCGGTATAGTAGTAGCAGAGGGGGAATGGAAAGGTTGGGTAATTGCATAGCCAAACACAACCGGACCTCCTTCTGTGATACAACAGCAGCTTGGGGAACAGTTCTGGTTTTGCCGCTCCCTGCTCTGTAATTGGTGGATTATTCATGGACGGACCCTACCACAACAACCGACATGATGAATGCTATATATAAAAGGTTTGACTGATTTTCTTGCGCTAAGAGCCTACTCGGTTAACCGGCTTTGTTAATTTCAGTGCAATTCCAATAAGGTAAAACAGTTTTTAAAACAATTGTTGGAACCCCAGGGCTGTTTCCTTGCCGATATTGTACATGAGGACGGCAGCAGTGCAATTTCATGACACACGAGAGTGAGAGAAAAACAACTCCTGCTTTTCATGAAAATGGCCCAGAGCTCCAAGTAAAAGGCAAGGATTGCTTTAATTAAAAAGTGTCTTTTTACAGAGTGAAAAAGTCTGGAGCTGCAGGAATGTTGTTTTCATTCTCTGATCCTCTCTGGGCCGCCCCTCTTTCTTTCTTTCCCTCTTTTTTTCCCCCCTTCTCTCCCCAGTGGGGTAGTCCCCTAATGCCAGGCAAGAGGTCGGGTTACTGCTTCACTCTGGCCCGCCTCCACCTCTAAGCCCCGCCCCACTTGTTTACATTCCTCTGCCCTTATTTGGAGATCTCAAGGTCCCCCCCCCCTGTGGAGTGCAAACACTCTCACCTTCTCAGCAGAGAAAGAAAGCAGGGCCAACTTACCCGAACTCTCTTGATTTGACCCTGACCATTATCTGCTGGCTGAAAAGCCATGTCCTCTCCCGTGTGTCTGCGTTGGCCCTTCTCCTTTTCAAATGTTGTTTTACCGGACACTGGGATTGTGTTGTGAGCTTACCTGGCAATGGCCACGAAGGTAAGAGATTTTGGTTTTTTTTCCCTTGAGACAGATGTGTGGCCATGAGGGGGAGGGATAAGGAAAAGAGAGGCATGAGACGGTGACAGGGGTGACAGAGGAAGATGTCCAGTATTCAGGTAGAGGGGAAACATCTATTTAAAAAAAAACCTGCTTGCACCTTGCCAGAAGGAATGTTACGAGATGGATTTGTTTGGAAAACTCCCTGCGGAACTGACCTGCATGGAGGCCTGAGCCGGGTCTGCTCAAGGCCGGATGTCGGTTCAACTAGTGTGTTTGTGTGAGCAGGGGGGGGGGGGCAAAGCCATACATACAGGACCTTTTGGAGAGGAGGGGGAGCTTTTATCATGCGTGTCTGGTATTCAGATCCTCCAGTCATTCTTTGACTGAAAGGCAAGTATTTAAGGCATTAGACTGAGGGAGAAGTGTAGGAGTCATGTTCCAGCTCTCTTTTGTTGAATAAGAGGGAGAGTTACAGTGAAACAGCAAGTTCTACCTACTTGGCAACGCTGCTCACATGCACCTCTTCTCCAGACCTCATTTTGTGTGAGTCTAGAAAGGCTCAACTTGATTTTTTTGTTTTGTTTTCTGTTGTGATGGATTTGACTCTGCCTTGCAAAATGACTTCTGAGGATTAAGGAGGTTGTTTGGACATATGCTGGAGGTCAAGGGGCAGGCGAGAGGGAGTAGGGTGGATGAATCACAGCAGTGTGAGGAATGCAGGGGTCAGACTCTACACATCCACAGCCGTCAGACTCTCGTAGCGGCGTGCAGAAGACTTAACATCTCTTATATAACCTTTAGCATGTGGAACACCTTTTGTCTGCTGCGCACACTGCACTAGCAGTGGTTCACCTGTCGGCCTGTCGCTTGTTGGAATATCTTTACTTGGAATAAAGTCAGATTAGAATATCAAAAGGAGGGGATTTTAATATTTTTGGTGATTCTTCTAAGTATCTTCTAAAGATTTAATTCTAATTAGGTGATTTGTCTCACTTCTGTAACACAATTCACATGTTTTTCCCTGTCAATGTACCGATGTCCTAGTTCTGTACGGCCTGATGTTTGCTCTGTATTGTCTGGAGTATTGTCTTTGTCAGGTGAGATGTGATTGTAAGTGTTGAGCTTTCTCAATAAGAGATTCTGAATGATGGAGTTTGTGTGGGATGACATGACTGTGCATGTTAACAGTGTCTTGTTGTGTCTCTGGTTTTGTGTTCGTCTGCGTGAGTGCGGCCGTTTGTACGTCTCTGTTTGTGTACGTGTGCCCATACCAGCTGACTGTATGAAGCGCTGCATCTCTTCTATTTTGCAGCGCCACCCTCTCAAGGCCTAACCCAGGACAAAGCAGCTAACAAGAGGATCCCCAACGGAGGAGAGACCACACTGGGCCGAGGGACCCGCACAACCTCCGCCACATCCAGCCCTGACCACAGCGACCACGCCCTCTCTGTGAGCAGCGACTCCGGCCTGTCTAGCACTTCTCTGTGGGCAGACAGACCCACACCTGTCGTCACCACCACCACCACCACCACCACTACCACCACAGCCAACATCAAGTCTAACCAGGGTCCCAGCAAGCAGGAAAAAGTCCAGCTTAAGCGCCTTTTAAGTGGCTTTGGACTTGAGGACCCCTCAGCGGAGGAGATGGATGATCAAGGCCCTAGAGTGGGCATTCAGCAGATAGTCCCAGCACAAGTGCACATCAGTAGAGACCCCAGACCCCGAGAGAGGGAAACAGACATCCTGGATGATGAGGTCATCACAGGTCATGATCTGCACAGTGTGGACAGTTTAGGAACCTTGTCGTCCTCCTGCCACAAGAGCAGCCAGAACTCCCTGCTGTCAGATGGATGTGGGAGTCCCGGAGGGGAGGAGCAGCATAGCCAAAGCCAGCACCACCTCCATCACCCTGCACCCCTTCCCATAGAGGAGTACGAGAGAGCCTACGCTGAGGCGAGAAGGGGCTGTCTGAGCTCCAGGAGCAACTCTGTGGCCTCTTCTAATCCCAGCAGTGCTTCCATGCCCAAGCAGCATGTCTACAGACAGGGAAGCTATTCCACACAGTCCTGGGTTCGCCAGCAGCAGATGGTCGCTGCACAACAGTTTATCTACATGCCTGAGGATGGAAACGACACAGAAAGATACCCAGGGAACAAGCAAGGGAGCAGTTCCCCCAAAGCAGGCCTGCCTGCTGAACCACAGGGCCCTACCAGGGACATGGTGACAGATGCTCTGAGAAACAGAGCGCCACACAAGGAGCAGGCAATGCAGAACAATAACAACAACAACAAACGTGATGAGGAGTTCAAATCTCTAACGATGGACATCGACAACTCCATCGACCAGCTCAACCAGCTGATCATGGACCTGGATCCCACATTTGTGCCGGTGTCAAGCCACAGCAGCTCAGTCAAGAGGAACGGCGGTCTGCATGTGAACGGCTCAGTCTCCAAATGCTCTAACGGCATCAATCTCAGATTCAACGATAATAACGCAGTGACCCTGAAAAACACACAGCAGACAGGTAAGACAGTCAGACAGTCTGGGTGTGGTGATGGTGATGCGGTGTGGTCTGGAAGTGTGGTTGTGAAAAGAAATGTGTGACAGTTATTATGAAACCAGAAGAGCTGTTTTGCTAGAAATGTCTAATAAACATGTCAAAGATAGAAGTAATGAAACAACTTTAATTAATATGCTAGTATTTTATTTAAAGCGAAGTTAGTTCCTCTCAAGCTCCATCAGCTTTTCCTCTCCTCCATTACAGAGTTAACTCAAGAAAGCACACCTTCTCCCCCTCTCCCACCTGGCGTGTTTTAGTGGCAGAAATAGCAGGGTTGTTGCCAGGTTTTTCAGATGTTTTCAGTATGTTTCTGAGGAAAGGGCGCCGTCTAGACTTGTCTGTATAGCTATCTGACTAGAGGATCAGTATGGTACATGAAGAGAGGGAGAGCAGCTGTCATCGGCCTTTCTGAACATTGCTTTCAGTGTTTGATTATAGAGATTGCGCAGTGAGGAATACAGATATTTACAAAATCCCATAGACCGACTGCCTATTGTTGTGCGTAGAAGAGGGTTTAAGCATTACTGTACTTAAAAGACACACACAATTTCTTTTCTTTAATGTAAGTCATCTCTAATAGATGTTCTCCTTATTGTATTCTCATGTTCATCACACTCCCACCTGCCTGTTCAGACCTTTTTCAGTTCTTATCAATGATATGTTACAGTAATCATAAAACATCTCCTTGTGATTGCTGTTGTTAGGTTTGTTGTGCAGACAGAAGTTATGCAACATAATGACTCTTGTATCTACCCTAGATATCCACTAAAGTTATTTCCACTTTGTTCTTGTTGAAACTGATCCCAGGGCAACATTCAAGGATGCAGTCTATGATCTTCAAACACTGCACAAGAGTTCACAATGTGTTTCCATTGCTGTTGCGTGCTGTAGAATCTTTATAGAAATTGCAAGATTACAAAATTCCTCTGTCTATCTTTAAGTTTGTTTGCCCCGCAGTGATTGTTAACAGAACTGGAAGAATGTAGCAACTTCTTGTAATTGTTTTCACAAGCAAAACATTGATGACTATCTCTTTCCAATGCTACAAAGATTTTGGCTTTTTTATATCAAATTCGCCTTGCCCTTGTAGGTTATCAGCGTACTGTCGACTCAAAAATATTCATAACAGCAGCAAATCAAGGGATTTCTTTAGCTGAAAACCAGTGAGGCAGAGAAAATGCAGAAAGCTGCCTCGGTGTTAGCAGTGCGTGAATCACACTCCAGTACGTGTGGTTGCAGGGGGCACAAGATGGGGAGGCCTGAGGAATTTCCAAGGAAGGAACAAGTGAGCCCAGAGGCAATGTTTTTTCCATTTGATTCCAAAAGCATACCTGTCCGTGCATATCAACTACACAGGAGCGTCATTCCAAAAAACAAATGCTGAAGGCTATAACTTTTGCTAATTTGCAAGTAACCTGTAGGAAGTAATGGATTGTTTCTTTTTAATGTTGGCTTTTATATGTTGGCACTGGTAACAGGAGTCATAGGTCTGAGTCAGTCTGTCCAGCTGCATTATAACATGAATTTGGAGCAAAAGTTAGTTGTCACAAAGAAAGGCTGGTTAAATTCTGTTGACTTTTTATGAATAATTCAGTTTGACCATTTAAAGCAGTTCAAGCTCTTTTTGCTACCAGTATTCATCAAACTAGAACAGTCATGCTTTTCCTGCTCGTGCCCATCACATCATTACACCAAGTCTCCCATGTTGTTATTATTTTTACTAACTAACACCTAAAACAAGATTATGGCACAAGATACAAAAATACAATATGTATCTAAAATAAACCTGCAGCAGGCATTTTATGTTAGTATCAATATTCACAAGTCCTTTTAAAGCCAATACTGCCTTAAAGCAGCCCTGCTCATTGATTTGCAATGGTCTGATACAACTTGTGGTATGGTGTTGCCAAATCTCTATTTCCACACAATACTGTATTTATCCTCATCTTGCCCAACCCTACTCTTGAGGGTGTATTAGATTACAGAAGTGATGGCACTGAAAGTGAGTCATTGGAGAGAAGAGAGTTTGTCTCTGTTGCGTGATAGCAACCACATCATATAGATCCATGCTTGCTTGTCTCGTGACTGCTTCTCATACCTCATATAAACTAAAGAAAACCTATTCTCTGGATCAATAATGCACACATGCATAAAATCCTGTAGGTGGATGTATAGGATGAAAAAAGTGATGCATGCATAGAGAAACACTGTGTCATCCATAGTCGCCCCAGACAAAGTGAGTAATGATCCCTGACATTAGCACTTCTGCACCATTAGCATTCTTCAGGGTTGGGAGGTTGGAGCTCACTGGGAGGGCTCAAATTAACACCCTAGTGCTGAGTGGTAGCACTCTTCAGAGTAGTCACAACATTGAAACCCCCAACACACACAGACACACACTCTAAACCTCGTAGCCCACCAGCCAGACCCCTGGCATTCCTCAGCTGTCCTCTCAAAACATGACTGTAGGCAGCACCCTGGGGTAAGCAGTGTGGTGCTTACATTTTATGGACTGATTAAGTTAAAAAGTCATCAATCCCAAACTATTTATTTTATTTCTTATTTTTTACAGATAATAGCCATGAAAGTGACCACACCAGCTTATCTACATCGTCATGTGAATTTAAATGAGTGTGATCGTCAGAGCGCACTGTTCAATTTAGTAGAGTGCAATAAATCAGGAGTAGGATTTAATGAATTGAGCTGATTATTATGATGATATGATCTTGTCAAGTTCCCTTAAAACTTTTGATGTCCATTGCATTGCTTTGAACATTAGTTTGATGACTTTAAACGAATGTCAAATCATCATGATAGATTCATACCAATAATTGTTAATATTATTGTGATCATTTTTTCACCCATGTTGCCCAACCGTAGTCTATAATGCCTTAGTTTTAGGGTAACCAGACCTTGTCTAAAATAAGCGACTGTTAGAAAAAACATTTTGCTGAATACTGTCCTAAAAGGCCCCAAAGGTCATTTACTGTTCAGTGTTTTTTATGTACTTTACTTCCTTGAAGTCAGTGATTCTTGTAAATTAATGATCTGCTTTCAACCTGTGTGTATCCAGGTGTCCAGTCCAGCGAGGGGCGGGTCAGTGTCACACGCAGCCTGAGTCGCCAAGGAAGTGATGTCACGGATCATCCAGGCTTCTGTAACTCAGGGTGGGGCGCGACAGAGGAGTACAGGGGCCAGCGGACGTACTCCCCCTGTGTGCCACAGTCACAGGTAAATACAGCATGTGTGTATAATGCTTGTATGTGTATGGCTTTTCCCCATCTCATGTATCTACTCTGTGTGCGTGGTGACATGTATCTGTGCATTGTTTGTTACAGCATCACATGTTGTACAGGAGTGACAGTGCTGACTACAGGGCTCAGGGCCCAGACATGGACAGTGGGGTTGAGCCCGGGAGTGACATGACTCCACCCACTCCCGCCTTCCCCATTTCTCCGCCAACACCTTATGGTAAGTGCTGTATGTTTCCTGTGTCATTGTTAATAAGTTTCTTTTATCTGAGCATTTGATTTTGCATGTATTTGTGACCCGATTATTATTTTTTTTGTTTAATTAAATGTCCCTGTCCTCATTTCCTTAGTGAAAAATATGTCGGAACTGACTCACCTCAGGCAAACACCATCTCCTAGCATGCAGTCTTATAGAGGCTACAACGAGGACCATGGTAGGTTCAAATCTCTTCAGAATATCTACCTTTCTTATGGGAAGAAAATGGTCTTTCTCTGTTAACTTAACAGCAGAGTTTAATAATAGACACGGGAAATAACGGTATATATTTAAAGTGCAGAAATGTCATTCTATTGTGAACTAAAAATATGGATCATTTGACCTTTTTCTCAGCCTAGGGATTTGAGGCACGCTGTTGTACGAAGTTAAACAGCTGACCAAGTTGCTGTGAATAACAAAAAAATCCCCCCAAAACAAAGACGGTTTTGTTGTCCCCTGTTCTTCTATTAACTTGTGCTTTTTCCCCTCAACCAATTAAATAGATTGAGTGACAAAAAGACAAGTAGTGAGTGGGAGGTAATTGAAATTGAGTCTTCTTTCATGTCTTTCCCCCTTGACAGCATGTTCGCGTCCACTACCTCATTAGAACAGAGCTACGTCAGGTCCCCTTGCTTTACCTAGTAACGGTGACATTGTTGTTTGTGGGATTTTAGCGGTTTTGAGACAGGGGCCAAAAACAAAAGACGTCTCATGAATGCAAAAGCAGGGAGATTCCTAACCAGGTTTGGTTGTCAGAGAATGTGTGTGTGGTCACGGCCTGAAGAGAACACTTTTTTAGACACAACAGTGTTGTTCTTTAGATTAAACTGAGCCTCTTTTGTTTCTTTTTGTATGGATGTTTTATTTTCTGCGGTTTATCTGAGGAGGAACACACCCTGGGTACAAGATTCTCAGAGATGGAAAGAGTTGTGCATATATAGCACTTTGTGGCACCAGCATCTGTGAACTTTGATGTAAATTCCAAAAATCCTTTCATGCTTTTGGTGTTTACTTAATTTTTATCATAGAACTTGTGCGGAAAAACTATAAAATTGGTTACTATCTCTCTACCCATGTATATGTTGCACTCCATACCATTAAAATCAAAGTATTTTGCATGATTTTTGATCAGTTTTGTCAAAGAAGCACAAGATTATACATGTCAGGAACTATCAATTTCATTCTACTTTGACCTTGTATGGACTTCCATAGGAATCTACAGTATGATGAAAGGTTGTAGGGCCTGGGAGCAGATCTGTACCCCTGCTGTGCCTCTTACTACCTCAGACACCCAGGCCTGCCACATCTCCATGGTTACTGTGGGTCAGGAAGCGTTAGACAAAAAAACTTTTCTTCCCCCATGAAAGTGTGTACACAGAGGGGAAACAGGGACGAGAAGAAACCAGCAACTCTCTCAGCTTTGCACCTCTTATTCTTTTAAAAGTAACCCAGAGAAAACCTGGCTGTAAAGAGTTGGAACATGAGCTTTCAGATTCTGGCTGTCAGTGGCTATGACTGATTCAAATACAGCTTTTAGATAATTATGTCAGAGGGCTTTTAATTTGTAGCTGCAATAGAGTCTGATTTGTTGACTCTGCGGGTTGTGGCAGGGGTAATTGGTGATTGGTTTTATATAGATTGATGGCTTGGTTCAAGGCCATGTGCACAGTTTTCATTTAATTTAAACTCCAGTATTGATTGTTTGTTGCTGGAAAGAACCCAGAAGGTCCCAAGGGTTTTTTTTCTCCATACTCCCACTTGCACGCAAGTTTATTTTTGCTTATTTTAACTTTTTCAGTTTGTTTTGTCCATATTTTCTCTCAGTAATTCTTCTACGGCTATGTTTTAGATTGAATGTATTTGTATTTATTGTCATTTGATTCAACATTTACAACAAAAACAGCTGTAAATGTGATCAATAAATATGGTTGAAATATTTGTTTTCTTGCTCTCACACAGAACCCAGGGGATATTCAGAGATGATCAGTCAAATTGGAGTTGACAGTTTACCAGACTCCTCCATCAACTGCCACAGGACGCTAAGTGCCACACACTCTGCCTCTGTTGTTGGGACCCTTCAGCGGACAGACAGGTACATTTCTGTCCTATCCAACATCTTAAAGCAGCACTGACCTTTTACTAGAGGGCCGTATTTCCTAAACAGACTTCAGACTGGGGTGTTGATTTCCAGTTGGATCGAGAGTACAACCAGCATATTGATTAGTCTTTTCTTCAGTGCCAACATCAGTGATATAAACAATTATTTTAATTATGCCAACTTCTTCTGCAATGGTTTAACACGCAATCATTTCTTTTGCTAATTTGAATGGAAACTTGACTAATGTTTATGTACAGTATGTTTATCATCTTTCGTTTTTCCTCTTAACTTAAGTTCATCCATGAACCAGTCCTGGCCAGAGCATCCCGTCCTGAGCCGCCACTCCTCTCTGAGCAGCTACGCCACTGCAAGACAACCACCACAGCATTCCATGTCCCTGGACTATGGCCACCACTCTCCTCCACTGCACCACCCCCACATCCACCCTGCCCCCAACGCCCACAGCTCTCCCCGAAGCAGCCAGCGAAGCTGTTTGGCTCGCTATGCTCTCAGCCGCAGTCCCCCTCAAAGCTTTGACGAGCAGGATGATTCGGGCCTTGGCTATGGCACAGACTGTCCGAACTCCACCTCTTCTCTGCAGGGAAATGGAGGCATCGACAGGGAACATTTGACCACTGTGGATGGGCAGAATCAGTCACAGCTGTCCCAGATACAGCCCCCACTTCTGCCTCAGAAGAAGAGAGCGTCGGATGGGGAACATTCGCTGGGAACAGCGTCTCCAGCCCTCAGTGGGTTCTCGAGTCCCCACAGTGGGAGCTCCCTGAGTATTCCTTTCCCCAATGTTTTGCCTGACCTTTCAGCTCAGATGCCAGGCACAGTCTCACCTCTGCCAGGTAAGCTACAGATCCCTAGTGAAGTTAACACCCTTATTGGTGGCACATGGTTTGATGACCACACATAAATGAAAACTATACTGATTATTTAGCTAACAATTATGTGTCTTCCAGATGTACTGGTCAGCAAGCAGCTTACTGTAAAGTTTGTGCAGGACACATCAAAATTCTGGTACAAGCCGGATATCTCAAGGGATCAAGGTAGGCTTCCGGGGTTCACTTTAGTTCCAATGTGATTTGTTGCAAAGAAACTTTTTCACAGAACTATAGAGCCGTCTCACAATTATGTTTCTCTTCACTCAGCCATTTCAGTCTTAAGGGACCAGGAGCCTGGTAGCTTCATCGTACGGGACAGCCATTCCTTCAGGGGGGCATATGGACTGGCAATGAAAGTGGCTACTCCCCCACCCTCAGTTCTCCAACAGACCAAGAAAGGTATGGTCGATGTGGTCGACATTTCTTTTTTATTTAAATGGTTGATTTACACTTATTTGCTAAGATCCACTTTATTATTTATTAGTGTCAAGGAAACTGTATTGTTTACATATCTTAGAGAAAATTCTTGACTTTTTGTCTTTGTTAAAGTTTTGGGAAGTACACATATTTTCTGGCTTTCAGTGAGAGTGTATTTCCCAAATGGTTAAATTACTGTTTCATTTATCATAGTGAAGATTTCAGAGATTGGTCCAGTATTTACAAACATCCTGGGAATCATACATCACACAATGGCACACAAAGCCGTCTACAGTTACAGTCCACTGTACTCACCTTAATGCTGGAACATGAGAGTCCCTCCCTCTGTTTGTGTGTGAGAGCTACTCACTCTGTGTTTCTCTCCTGGGCATCATCATGATGAAGCCGAACAGACCCCCTTTGCCTGATACTCTTAGATGTACAGCTAATGTTTCACCCCTTAACAAAGGATGTGCTGGGTCCCTAAGCCTACTCTGATACCGGGGACTTCTCCTGGGAAGCTCTCTGCCCCACATAACTCTGTCGGATAGAGATGTAACATCCAGCGACTTGGGTCATAACAGGCTGCTTGGTTATTTACTTCTTAGCGTGTTTGTTTAGCGTATTCAGGAATTACGGGAAGGGTTTTTTTGGAAAGAAAACAGTCTCTAGAGGAATCTGGCCAAGCATTCTCTGGCCATGTTTCAATATGAAAACAAAGGCTTATTGAGTGATGACAGAGATTCACACATCAGTATTTCTTAATCAAAAAGGGCCAGAAGGACATTAAATCCCATGCAATGTGTATCAGAAACAGGCTGGATTATTTATAAGGGCTCAAAGGATGCCCTCATGCCCTTCCTGCACCAGCCCACCACAGCGCTCAACCCTTTCATTTTATCCCCCACTCACACCTGTCCTTTTGTTTTCCTTCACCCCTTCACAGTCCAACAGCACCTGTGGTGACATCATGACACGGTCCTTCTCCGCATTTTCAGCTTAGGGCATTGTGGCTCCTTATAAGTGTGAAACCCAACCCACCTTAAGGAGCGGGCCTTTCTCCAAGCTTTTGTGTCAAGACATTCCTCACATAGACTCCTCCTGCCCCCTCAGAAGCGCTTCTGTTGAATCATAATCCCATTAATCTCTGGAGAGATTGAATTTAGCGATTTAATATGTTTTATGTAACTCTTCAAGGCTGGAAAGTAAGGTGTTGCACAGAGATAAATGCTTGGGGGCTATTATTTAGGTCAGAGTAAATCCAAGGTGTCAAATGGAGGACAGTTTTGCCAAAACAGACCACAGACAATAGTGAGACATTATTCATCTCTCATATCTCTCTCTGTATCTTCTATGTTATTCTAACAGGAGGTGATCTATCCAATGAGTTAGTTCGCCACTTCCTGATTGAGTGTACCCAGAAAGGAGTGCGGTTGAAGGGTTGCCCCAATGAGCCTTATTTTGGTGAGTATCTACTCTGTTTAAACCTCTCCCCTCACAGCTGGTTGACAAGAGTGACGCTTGCTGGTTGTTTGGCTACACTGCACCAAAGTGACAGACTTCACGCACCATACTGCTCTCTATTGGTGTGTGGGACATTGTACCAATGGTTGTCTGCAGACAGATGACAGATTGATGCACCTGCTGTATCATGGGACATGTGTCATTTTTAATAGGAATGATGGTAGTTTCCTCTCCCCTGAAACAAATCTGCATTCTTTTATACTTTTAAGAGCACACTACAACAAATTCTCAGTAACTATTGATTACTATTGAAGTTGTTTTTGTCATGGCTGTATGATTACATGGGGGATAAAAACAAATTCTCATTCTACTGATCATCATTTCATTTTATTTTTGTGTTCTTTTTTGTAATATCTTTGTACAGTATATAATTATGTATGTGACAGTTGCAGAAATCTTGCCTTCTTGCAGTAAAGTTGATCTGGCAATAAAACACAACATCTCTCAGCAATATTGATCTGACGTCCACATTGTTTTACAGGAAGCTTAACTGCTCTGGTCTGCCAACATTCGATCACTCCCTTGGCCCTGCCCTGCAAACTTATCATACCTGACAGAGGTAAGCGTTCAACACACAGTCAAAGACCTAATGCTAAAGAGGAAGATTATGGCCAGAATTGAAAACAGCCATTATTTAGGTTTTGCGGCTACCCAAAGGGGCCAGTCTGTCTGACCATGTATTTGTTGATGTAACCATTGTGGGCTTTTCTTAAATAATCTCACTGACGTTTTTTGCTTTTCTTGCTCGTAGATCCTCTTGAAGATGTTGTGGAGACTACCTCACAATCTGTCACCAACTCTGCTGCTGAGCTGCTAAAACAGGGAGCAGGTAATCGGGCATCTAAGATCACTTGCCTTGAATAGATATTATGACAAAGCAGTGATGGCACTGCACATAAACACTGACAAAATCCTTGTGTGTAATTCTGTAACACTTTTGGAAATGACTGCATCCTTGTCCTGTTATTATGGACTGTAAATACATTTGCTCTGCAGTTATTTGCGCTGAGATGAGTGATCCGTGTGTAATCTGAATCTGTGTGCTCCTGCAGCCTGTAATGTGTGGTACCTATGCTCAGTGGAGATGGAGTCACTAACAGGTGTCCAGGCGGTGCAGAAAGCCACCAGTATGACTCTGATCGCCAACCCTCCTCCAACCTCCACTGTAGTCCACTTCAAGGTGTCCTCCCAGGGAATCACCCTCACTGACAACCAGAGGAAGTGAGTACCACACGGGCAAATTCACACCAGACATAGAGAGACCTTTTTATCGCTATAACCACCCCCCTTGTCTCCTTTTAGACTCTTCTTCAGGAGGCACTACAATGTCAATACGGTCATATTTTGTGCATTGGACCCTCAAGATAGAAAGTGAGTATTGCTGATTGAAACACATGCCATTTAATGGTTTCCAGACCTTTTATTATTCCAACCAGGTGTGGTAAAATCCCAACATGGGCAGGAAATGACAACAAACTTAAATAATAAAACCAACATTGTTGTCACTGCTAATTTTTTATGTGCAGATGGAAAGTACAATTTGTTATATTCAACAAGCCAGTAACACTATTATCCTCTTTTAACTGCTCACAGGTGGAAAAAAGATGGCTGCCCTTCAGCAAAGTAAGAATTTTATTATTATTATTATATTTCTGCAGCCAGAGCAGCATTAAAGCAGTTGTTTTTAAAGTGACGTTGTCAGGTTGAGAGGGATGACAAAGCTGTGATTAAGTACTTTTCTCCACCTCTGCAGGATCTTTGGCTTTGTGGCAAGGAAAACTGGCACTTCCATGGACAATGTATGTCACCTGTTTGCAGAGCATGACCCAGAGCAGCCAGCAAGTGCCATTGTCAACTTTGTTTCCAAGGTGATGATTGGCTCACAGAAGAGTAAGTAGGCCTGCCCTCTGGCTGAGCTGAGCACCTGGACAGACTTTTAACTGAGAGTGAGAAATAAAGACTGAAAGACTTAACAAAGGACAAAATGTAAGGACTGAAGATGGTGATGACCTGGACATTAACCCTGGATATTAACTGGATGTTGGATATACATTATGGATACACATAATCACCACTTACCAGCACCCACACATTAATAACATCTTTTAATATAAAAATATAAATCCCCTTCTATTCTATTGTTTTTCTATACTGTAAAATTAACTGTAAAATAGCCAAGTAAGAAAACAGCTAAATCATAAAAAAAGTTTAATCCTTTTTAACTAATTTACAACTGTAATTCCTTCATTCTCAACATATTTTAAGTACATACAACACACACAACACAAAGGCTGCTTTTCTTATTTGTGACAGTTTTATGGAGAAAACTCTACCTTGTTGCATGTGATATTTTTTTGTTATATTTAACCAAAACAAACTTAATTCAAGCTATTAACAGTCTGTAAAGTCTCTGTGCTGTGTTTGTCCAGCATGCAGTATTTGTTTGTGGAGTTAAAATTGTGTAAAAGTAGTGCAGCAAATATGTACAATTTGGATTTTGGGACGGGCTACATCGCATACAGGATTATCTTATTTTATCTATGCAATGTAAAATTTTATTTTTTTAAACCATGGCCTTCTTTACATGTGCAGCATGTATGTGGCTTATCTGAACCTGTTAAATAACTTTCTTCTCAAGATGTATGTGAATATGACCACTTTCAAAGCAGTCAGCAACACTTTAATGAAAGAGTGTGAGAGTGTGTGTGTGTGTGTTGAAATAAGAGAAACCATAGACAATATTTTAATTAATCCCTAATATATAGATTGATTTGACATGGTTAAAACACATCAAGTGGCGTACCACTCAGCTACCAAATTTTTACTTTAGTTTGCCCTCCTTTGGGAGGCTCATGGCCAGAAGCAGCACTGCAATGTTTCTTTATCAAAAATATATCAGAAGATTCAATTTGTACTTAAATAGGATTAGGATTTTAAAAAAGACATGCTGCTATGGAGAGAACAAATGGTGTGATTGCATTAGTCTTACAGTCTAAGTTCTTAGAAGAACGAAAAATGCGACATAAATTTAAGATCTGACATATTCTCCATTCATCTGTCAGTTAGCTACATCTACAATATAGATTCTGTGGAACAAAGATTACCCCCAGTTGAGTGTTTGTTGATATTGTATATGAGAGATCATAAAACTTGATTCCTTTTAACTTTTTGTGTTGGGCAGTCATTTTATCCAGAGAGGGACCTACCACCACAATACAGCTCTGTTGATGGATTACATTATGTACACATTTGTTTGACATATTATCTGTACCTCATACTTATCTCATACTGTGCCTCTGTGTATAACATGCTACATGTGAACAGTTTATGTGTATATTGACATTAAATTGTTGGATGTGTTCTGTAAATAAACAAAATGAAACACTTACTTAATCTTGGTGATCCGTCAACCGGTAAAAGTTCGTCGTAGCCAGGACCAGTTGCTAGGCAACCGGCGGAGACCCCGGGAATGGTCCTGACAAATGACAGTTATTTACACCTTTGTGATATTAGGATTAAACAAACGAGATAACGTGTTAATTAGTGAATTTAAGAGGTACTGGTAGGTGGTTTCATTTGGACAATGCCAGGCTAGCTGTTGCCCCCCTGTTTCCAGTTTTTGTGGTAATTTAGCTGGTTGCTGGCGTTAGCTTCATAATGTTAGCAAGCAAAATATTAGGTGGTATCTACCTTCATATCTAGCTAATGTTAATGCTAACGTTAAGAAGAAGCAAAAGTAGAAAACTATGTTAGAAGAAAAGTTATTTGGGGAAATGTGCTCATTTGCTTTCTATATTCTGTACATGTTTGGTTGTTTTAGGACTAATGTGTAGGATTTGGTGGCATCTACTGGTGAGGTTGCAGATTGCAACTATTGATTGCAACCGACTGAAACCGCCCACCTTAACCACGCGTGTAACAAAGTGTTCTGTAGATTATTTTCCGATAATTATACACTAATGAAAATAAACCTATTAATATTATAGGCTATTCCATTTCTGCCAGCAGATCCTCCAAAATGTTACACACTGGACCTTTAAAATCATCTTATTCTAATCTCTCTGACAGCATCACAAAGTAGTTAGCTAACGTTATAGTCTGTGTCAGTTTGTTCTAGCCCTGTATTAAAGCTCTCTAATGAGTCACATATTATATTTCATTCTCCGTAACTTACATTTCCTTAAAATTCGGGTAATAATGATGGGAATAATTTGTTAACCTTTGGGCCCCCTCTGTTATAGTTAAATATAGTTCTGTGGGTTTGGATAATGTTTGGCTGCACACCATGCATTTGTAATGACTAACTCAGGCTCCTGTTTAAGGAGTTAAGCATGCTGCTGAACCAAAGACACCATGCACAGGTCTTGTCTAGTCTCAGGTCTCAACCACAACTCGGGTATTAGTCACAGGCAGGTTTCAAGCTCCTATAGTAGCTAATCTTACCATACAAAGGAGGATTTGAAAAGTAAGAAGATCAAGACACTGCTGCCCAGGGGTCAGTAATAAGGAAACTCTGCTTTAGTGTTGTTTAAGAGAAATTAATGCTTCACTACAATCTGTAGCCAGCAGAGGACACTAGTAACACAAAACATTTGAACCTGCACATGAGTGGTTCTGTGACGTGGCTTATTTCCCCAGTAAAAAGATAACTTCACTAGTTGTAGCTTAAAGGTGAAATAGTGATGGTGACAGACCTAAGTAGACCATTAATAAGGCTGACACACACACCTACTGTGCATCTTTGCCCTTCTTTCTCAGCACTAACGCACAGATCCAACACACACATGTCCACTGTCTCATTTGTAAAGTGCAGTAAAAGAGGATTTTACCTCCACACAAGCCTGGACTGGTTGCTCTAATGGTGCTGCGAAGGAATAAAATTGCAGAGCTTAGCTAAAGAGAGAGGAAAGGTGTAATGGGGCAGATCCTCCCCCCCCCCACTACTGTCCCTCTGCAGGTGGTGAAAGTGAAGAATTCCCGGGGAGGGCAGGAAGGAAGTGAAGGCCCAGGTGTGGCGACTGCAGAGCCCACAGCCCGTCTTCCTCTGTTATTTAGTGCAGAGTGGTCTTGAAATAAAAGAAGCTGGGGAAAGTCCAGAAAACCAAGCAACATTATTAGACTACAGAGGAACCTGTCAGGAGAGACAATATTTCACACAGGTAATAACAGCATGTGTGAGCATGAGAGAGCAATGTAAGTTTAACTTGATACTGCAGTGATTCCCCAGCAAACTTGATTGATGTCTCAATATTTGTCATTACCATGCTGATTAATGATACAGCAGAATGAACTTGTCTGAAAAACAGACAAGAATTTGCCCGACAATAGAGTTAGGCTTATTTTCCAACCCCTAACCTACACATGGCGACTGCTGATGAGTAATATAATCAGCGCTATTGTGTTGACATTCCTGACCTGAGCAAGGACCCGTAACAGACACTGATTAAGCCTGTCACATACAGTATGCCAGTCTCAACCAATACCAGCTTAACAATAAGCTTCCCAGTCTCTTCTAGGAAGCTGAAGCCAATCAAGTGTCACTTTGTAGATAATGTGGAGGTGAAAGGCCTTGTTCATCAGGCTGACAGAGCTCATTCTCATTCCTCCAGCACCCTAGCTCGGCAGCATTTTTACGGCCACTTAATTAGAGGGGCAGGGCTCATCTCTTTTCCTCTGAGGCAGAATACATTTTGGGGAGCAAAAATAGAAAGTGCATTCTGGGATGGCTGCACAATTTGAGGCCCCTTGTTTGGTTTTTCAGCAGACGCCGAAACCTCAGAACGCACTGTGAGATTAATTGCGTGCTTCCATATCAGGCCGCCTCATAGTTGAGGTCAGGACAAGATGATTCCCTACACAATCAATAAATCATTAGTTGTTAATGAGTTGTGCAGTATAGACTGTTGTTTTGTTGTATCATTTCAGAATGTATGTAACAGCTGCACATATCTGTACTATACAGAGAGAAATCAGTATTGCGGCCTAAAGGATGACAACTGACAGAGTAGCAAGTCCCAGTCACTGTGGCTATGGAGGGGTCCCAATGGGTCATGGTCGTGGTCATTGAACTAAAAACAACACGCACTGAAGACAAGTGTTGCCTTTGTGATGTGAATTTTTTTTACATCATGGTTTGAGCAAAGGTGTTTTGTTTTTATAAGAGGTATCCCCTCAGCCCCATCTGATGAGCTCAACTACTCCTTAATCAATGTGACCCAACTCGCCCCAAATGTTAATTATATAAAGGTGAATATTGCTAATTTTCCCGCACTCTCAATAAGAACACATGGTTGGCACAACAACAGGTTGGTGGGAGGTGAGTCCTATGTAGTCAGCCTATAGCTGTTGGTTTATTGTTGGTTATTGCAACAATAAATATACAAAAGATCAGCCTCACACCAATTCACAATGCTTTTTGTATAACTGCATACAATAAAATAAAAAACAAAAGGAATATGGACAGGAATAATATGAAAAATGGCTTCATTAACAGAAAAAATAATAAAAGTAGTTTGACTTGCATGCTGATACTATCTAAAGTGAATTAGATTAGCCGGGTGAACCTGTCAGACAGCTACGTATACCTTTTGACTCTGATATCTGTGTTTTCTCTTCATTTCAGCATCAAACCACATGTTGCAACCACCATCACTTCTAAAATAAATGCAGCATTGTAGGAACTGCAATGGGATATTCCCTCGACCAATTCTAATTTTGTCTTAGTTTACGCTGAGTAATGGTGTGTTGGTGTCAGTGAGAAAATGATACATGACTGTGCAAGAATAAATTACATGTAGTTGTCTGTTTCATTTGTATTTAAATCATGTGATTGCGGGCTCCCAACACAAAGGAAAAAAATTATAAATGAAGCATGAATGAAAAAGTACTTTGTACTCAATTAGTAACCATTTTAAGGACATTACATGTTTAAATTAAAATCATGCTTCCCATATAATTCACTTACTCTAGTTCTCAAATAAGGTGCAATGACAGAATGAGTGAAAGAGAGTCAGAGCGTAAAAATGTCTTGCACATGTGAGGAAATGTACATACATGTACAATGTGCCTATACGAGACAGAGTAATACAGACATAGGAAGTGCTACTGTCTGGGGGGGATTCGGGGCCCAAAGTGAGCGGCGCCACTCTCAGCCCACTTCCGAACACTCTGCAATCCGTCAGGCTGAATGCTGCGAGTTCCTTTCTCTCTGTCTTCCACTTCGCTCAGGCCTAATTACAGCCTTGGACCGCCTCAGGGGCCTCCAGAAATGGGGACCATGACAGCTCTATGAACAGACCACTCCAAAAAAATAATGAACCGACCCTGGAATTAGATGAAAGCTGGCCTATGCCCTTTTGGCTCTTTATTTTGTCCACCATTCAAACCGCTTTTAATAATCGGATAATTGTCAAAGGTCTCTGTGGGTGCCAGCGCAGAACAGAATCAAAGGGATAAGATGATCATATTAATCATAATAGAGACCTTTGCGTCCAATTCATCTGTGATGAGAGACTGCTCGAAAAGCCCTCAGACAGGGGCAATTATATGAGAGACGGTCATGAGACTAAGGGGGGGAAAAAAGAATAACAGTGACCGTACCAGACTTGTCATGTGATCTGTGGCAGCCTCAATCCTACACAGTCTCAACCCTCCCATCTTACTCGAACACACCTACATACAATATGTATCCACACACTCTTTCTCTCCACACACACACACACACACACCAGACCCCCACTGTCATCCCAAATTCCAGGTAAGAATGGCGAAAGAGTTGCTTGGTGTTTGAGAGTGAGGGGTATGCACTTACGCACACACACACACACACACACACACACACATCTTTCTCTTGGGTTAACCCAGACGTGTTCTGCAGACCTCCAGCTGATTAAACTATGTGCTTTTGAGTCTGTGAGCTTTGGCCGCGCTACAGATTTTTGTGCTTTTCCCCATCACTACAGTAACACCATCTCCTCCATCTTTGCACTGAACACACACAAAGTCACTCTAACAGAGCCAGAAGTGGGGAAAGAAGCATTAGTACATGTCACATCGAAATAATAATAATAAATACAAAATAACAATTTTTAATGAATGGAATAATAATAAGGCACTCTCAGCATACATCAGTAATCAGCTGCTGTTTTACTTCTAAATACAGGGGTAGAAATACACATAATAAAAACAGCATTTTGAAAAGAACTGCTCACAACCAAGGGAGCAGCAACCTATGGCTTTCATAAAAATTAAACTGAGAATATGTGTGACATCCAGAAGCATGCATTCAGTAGCTAGTTTATATTTAGCCGAGGATTTCGGTGCAATAAGCTACAGTAAGCTACAGCACAACTGCTGGAGGCAACTCCGACCGCTTGCAGAGCTTCAAGC